TTTCTTTCTTTTCTTTGATTTGTGTAGTGTGATGAAATTGTGTTAGTGTTACATTAGGAGTATTTAATATTTTTGAAAAATAATGCGAAAATAGGGTGAAAGGTTCAGTGAACGACACCCAGAGCAAACCTTTAACTTTGGAAAACATTTTGTCTTTGTTTATTATAAATTTAATTATGGAATAAATTGTGAATGGAAAATTTGGGTTTGAATTTTTAATAAGTATGTTCAGAATTATATAACATTTTGATAAAATTTTACAATTTTAATTTAAAAATGGCTTCACTGGCGAATCCAGAAATCGACTGCCTTCTTCTAAACTGTGTGAAGCCAGTTTTTTTTCTCTTCATTTCAGTAGAATTAATCTCCTGATCAACAGAAAATTTAAATATGTGATGAGAATGTTATCTTTAAGGTGCTTATATACCTCAAATTTCGATCAGATGAATATTATAAGGTTATTCAAGTTGGGTGGGGGAAAGCCAAGATGGATGATAGGCTGATTGTGCACCAGCCATCATCCATCTTGGCTTTCCCCCACCCAACTTGAATAACCTTATTTCTGGACCGTGAAAATGCGTGAAAAGTCATTTTCACGGCGGGTATTTTTGAATTGTTTTAAACAAAAAATGTTTTTTTAAGAAATATAATATTAAATAATTGTTTTAATATGTAAGAACACTTTAAAATAGTGATAGAGAGATGATTTGATTAAAAAATTTAGCAAATTTTGCTTTAAAACGTTTTCTGCTACAAGAAAGTGTAAAATGACGATGTTTGTGAAATGGTTTGTACAGTGCTTCTTCCTTGTGAGTATCTCTCAGAGTTTTGTTTATGTTATGTCGTTTCTTTTTAACTTGTAATAAATAATGAGTGCTGAAAATAAATCAGTAAGTTGAAATGTTTATCAAATAAATTTAAATTCTACTAATTGTTTCGAATAACTGAAAGAAACATGTACACATGTACACTGTACAAACCATTTCACAAACATCGTCATTTTACACTTTCTTGTAGCAGAAAACGTTTTAAAGCAAAATTTGCTAAATTTTTTAATCAAATCATTTTTCTATCACTATTTTAAAGTGTTCTTACATATTAAAACAATTATTTAATATTATATTTCTTAAAAAAACATTTTTTGTTTAAAACAATTCAAAAATACCCGCCGTGAAAATGACTTTTCACGCATTTTCACGGTCCAGAAATAATATTCATCTGATCGAAATTTGAGGTATATAAGCACCTTTAAAGTCGTAGTAACTTTAAGAAAGAAAAATGGTTTTATGGAAAATTTTATATTAGTTGTATGAAGAAAAAAATGTTCTCTGAACCGAGAATTGATTAAAAATAAGTCGAGAATATCGTGAAACTAACAATTAATACAATTGAATTTTATAATTTCGTCTGACTTCCTTTATGAAAAAAGGCGGATAAACAAATAACATCCTTTTGCTCGACATGCATTACTAAAGACAGTTAAATATTTTAGTGTCAGTTATCTTTATCAAAAATAAGTGTCCAATAAAGAATTGAAGTTACAGCTCAAATATTTTAAATAGTATGGGGCATTTATTTATTTATTAACGGGACAAGCTCTTTCGTACACAAGTTTTTATGCTATAGATTATATGTAGTTTCAAAAAAGAAAGATGTATCTCGAGAGGTACACATTTCAATCTGGAAGTGAAACATGGAAATCGTCGCGAGCTATTTGCGCGCAAAGCGCTCAACAACTGTCGGAGCGCGTAGCGCGACGATCAATTCCCGCGCGCCAAGCACGCATGAGAATGTGTCCGACCGAAGGGAAGGCAAATTTTTTTTACTGTTGGATAGTGGAATATGGTTTCAGGTTTAGCAAAAAATCCAATAGAATATTAGTCAATCTGTAAACAGGGATTCTTTTTAGTGGTGGTTTCAATTAAAAAATTCTTTCTTTAAAGATACCTTATAAGTCATAAAAAAAATCTTATTGCTGGTGTCTGTTAATAATAATAATGTAAAAGTTAGGATTATTGTGTCTAATTTTGAAATAATTTCATTCTTAAAATCTATTATTAAATTAATGGGGACCATTATATGTAAAGCTGAGCCCAGAGGGCAGCACCATAGCAAGATCGTGGAGCGCCAAATTTTTGATTACGGTTAAAATGACATTTGATTTTCTTCTTGTTTTGATGAAATAAAAACATGAGTAACGAGATAAATAAATATTTTTCTTGGTCGTGTGTGCAATTGAAAAACGAATTACGTAAGCGAGGACTTCGTCTTACAGGAAAAAAGAAAGTTTTACAAGAAAGGTATGTATAAAATAAAATAATACATCTAAGAAAATGTGTAAATATATGCAAGTGTATAAATAGAAATCTTTCTCACATAAAGTTTCAATAAATTGTGTTTAATTTGTCTTAAAATATTAATATTGTTGTTTAAATACATTTAAAAGTATTATAAAAACTCCGAGTCTTGTAAAAACAAAATAAAAAAATTGAGGTTATGTTGTCTAATGAAATAAAAACAATTACTTATTTGCATATTGAATATTAGAAATATTGTAATTCTATTGTAATTTTTAAATGATTAATAAGTAAATTTTGTTTGTTTTTTATATTTTTCACAATATAGTAATGATTGAAAAAGAATAAAATCAAATTAAATAAATATTTCATAAAATACAAATAAAATTTGAATATAAATACGACAAACATATTACTGTCCATTAAAAATTAAGGAAGTAAGTAACTAGTTAATCAATCAATTAACCAATTAAATAAATTATTATTAATGTTAATAACAAATACAAATTTTATTTTATCGCCTAGACTAATATTCTACGACAAGAACAAAGACTTTCTTTCTCAGGGTCATCAAGTTGGTCCTGATGCTTCATTTTGGACACCTGATGCTTCACAATATAGAGATGTAAATGGACAAACAAATATTCCGTTAATTTCGAAATCTCAAGTGGAATTTTTTTTAAATAGGTAATAATAAAAATATTTATGTATTTACTATAATTTACTATTTACGTATCATATTTTTTACAGTTACGAAGTGAAGACAAACTTGGGAAAAGAAATGTATGACAATTTTTATTTGCTAAATGTCAGAGTTGCTAAAACAAATGATTCCACATTTCTTCGAGGACAATGTTTAGCTCAAATGAAAAAATCCGTTCAATACAGAGTCGATATTGAAATATCGTCGAAAGATGGATTTATAGATGGGTCGCACTGTGAATGTGCTGTGGGAAGTGGAGACACAGCACATTGCAAACATGTTGCTGTGCTTCTGTGGGCAATTGAGCAAATGGTAACGCATATAATGAAAATAATACTAATTAATTATAAACTGTCACAAATATTATGATTAATTAATTCGAATTAATATTATTAATAGGGAAGGGAGAAAAAGATGACACTGAGGACAGTTTGTACACAGGAATTACAAACTTTCCATAGGCCATCTCGGATGTATCTTGGATCGCCGATTAAAGCTGCTAATTTACCAAAAGGAAGTAGAAAAATTGTTCAAGAACCATTTGTTTTAGACCAAAGTATTGTAGACAAAGAATCTTACCAAGCAAAAGTAAGAAATCAGTGCATAAATTTTGCAGCAACCCACAATACGAAAATGCCGTTTATGCAACTTTTGAAACCGGCTGATACATATGCTGCGATTTGGGACCACGCTTACACTAATGTTGACCCTGAAAAAATCATTTTGAATGATTTTAAATTGTTGCAAATTTGTCCACAAGAAATTGTTGACATTGAAAAAGCTACACGAGGTCAAGCAACGAATAGTTCTTGGTTCGAATATCGAGAAAATCGTATCACAGCTAGTAATTTTTACACTTGCTGCATTAATCGCGACGATACGAATCAAATGAAAGTTGCTCACAAGCTGATCAATCCCGTATCTTTTACATCAAAAGCAACAAATTGGGGCATTCAAAACGAAAATAAAGCTATCCATATATACGAAACGACATTCGGTGTAGAAGTGGATAGTTGTGGTTTTTTTGTCAGTCAAACCCACCCTTTCTTAGGAGCTTCTCCGGATGGACTCTTGGGTAACGATGAAGTCGTTGAAGTGAAATGTCCATTTTCTCGAAAATCTTCTCCTATATCCGAAAAAACAATACCGTTTTTAGAAATCGATAACGAGAGTGGTTTTTTAACTCTAAAAAAGAACCACACTTATTATTATCAAATTCAGGGGCAATTGTTTGTTACTGAGAGATCCGTAGCAAAACTAATAATATATACAACAGTCGAAACGTTAATTTTAACAATTGTTCGCGATGAAGAAATGATAATCGAAATGGTAAAGTGCTTACAGGATTTTTATGAAAAATATTTAAGAGTTGCAATTTTACAAAAATATTTATATAAAGGTTACAAAGACTGTGATTTTTAGAGAAAAATTGTTCGTGTTGCGTCAAAAAAAGTAATATATATATATATATATATATAAAAGTGTATGTGAGTGTGGCGTTTAAACGTGTTGAAAAGTATGAAAATTTTAATTTGTAAAACGATGAGATTTTTGTTACTAAAAAAGTGCAAACTAAAAACATGTCTATTATGTAAGGAAATATATTTTCTAAAGAAATCCAGTGTGATATTAGAAATAAAAGCGTCAGAAATGTGATAGTCGCGATAATATTTATAAAAAAAAATATTTCGTGAAACACTCAGATTACGTGATACTAAAAAAATTTAAACTAAAAACATGTTTATATGTAAAAAATCATATTTTTCAAATGTATCCACTGTGATATTATAGAGGAAAGTGAAAAGAATTTTTGGTGTTATGAAATAATTTTATTTCAAACGTTTATAATAAATTGACAGTTCAATACAATATTACTTCAATTATTCATTGATTTTCCTATTTTTTATCTTACATAATTTATGATATTTATTGACGTTATTTAATTTTTACAGTTTATATAAAATTTAAATTAGAAATAAGTACAATTTTCGATTTAGGCTCTATGCCTTTTGATTCACAATGCATTCACGGAAGTTGCATAACATTAGGCATATGGAAAAAATCTCTGTTGCTAAACGCGTATAAGAAGGATTCAATGATGCTTGCAAAATTTTGTAAGTTTTTGTTAAGCCTATCAAACGTTCGATGTGCACGCGTTTTGAAGCTAATTTCCTATCAGACAACACAGTGACACCTGGAAGTTATTTACCTTTCAAGAAATGAGGGATATTAACTAATACCCCGTGAGGCTGACAAATATCGTCAACATTAAAGCCACGATCAGCCATAATAGAATCACCGGCCTGACAACGCTGTAGAAGATTCGATCTTTCAACAATTTGTCGGTCACTTGTGCTACCGCCGTATGCTGTCGAATTATAACATAAAAGACCCCCAGGTGTTGCTCCTACCAAAACTTTTACTGTGTTTTTATTTTTGTAGGTGCTAAATGTTGACTGTTGAGCTATAGGATTTGAAGGTTTAGCGATGGGGATTTCTGTTGCGTCGACAATAACTCGAGTTGATGAATAGTATTTTTTGAAGCCTTTTGGCATATAAAAATCGACTATTTCTCTCGATGGCCAAATATCCAGTAACGACCACAATTGATTGATAAAACGAATCCACGCATTAAAAATATTAGACACAAGTCCTTCGCTTATTCCGAAATAAAATCCAAGTCCAAAGTCTGGAATGTTTCTTCGCAATTTTGTGAGAGTTAGTAAAAACATATCCTCTGGTGGCATACAGTTTACCTGCACATGGGTATATTTAATATTATGTACGTAACTGCTTAAAGTTCCATATACGAATTGAAATTTTTCGTAAGTCTCGAGGCCCGTAAAATAATGAATAACATTATTTCTATGGCAAATCGAAGCGACCGAGAGAAACCCACGACCAGCTTGAACTCCTGTCGATTTGAAATTTTTTTTTTCTGTATTGAGCAAATTTTCATTTTGAACCACTAACTCTTCTATTTCGTTCATTACAGGCGGCGAAAATACACTTTCTTCCAATTGTACATCTTCGTAATAACTATCCGGATTTTCCACTGTAAAAGAAACTACTTCTACATCATGTGAAGTAGTTTCTTGGAGAAGCGATTGATTCGATTCTTCTTCTTCTTCCTGCAAAATCATACAAGGATCCTTTTTTAATTTAAAAATTTTTTTTCTAAATTTAAATTAAAATTTAAGTTAAGCTACATTTGAGGAGCAAGTTTTCAAAGTTGATAAATCCATAGTTTGTTTTTTCGAGAAATTCAAAGAAATGTCATTTCTCATATAACCACTATAATAAACTTTAAGGTACAAAAATTGTAATTAATTATTTCTATAAGGATGTTTTTTGAATTTAAGATGTTTTGTGTTTAATTGAAGTCTTTTATTATAGGGTTATTTAAAGACATTGATAATTTTTTCTAATAAAAAAACTTAAAATTGTAAATCATCTAGGTTAAGCCCAAATATTTTTAAATTGAAAATTCTTTTTTAATAAAATGTTTTTCTTGAATGCAACAGCGACAGATCGATTTATGAGGTTCTGAATTTGTTAAATCTGTGATTATCTCAATTTTTTTGGAAAATGGATTTATCAAGTTTTGAAGATTTGCTCCTCATTTTAATTAAATTTAATTTAAATTACTAACATTGAAACTGTGATTCGGCGATTGGCTGTTTCTATTTCCATCCATTAGGTCATCCTTTTCCTCAAAATTTAAAGTCGATTTTACTTCAACATTTAAAATTTCTTGCGATTGTTCACAGAAATCCTCCAAATTTTCTGTCGATTCATCTAAAAGAGACAAACATAAAGATGATGACGATGAGTCTGAATCTTGTTCAAAGAGGTTTTTCCGAATTTTCTTCAAACGTTCAGGTTTTGTCATTCCGAGTTTCAACCTCAAGGAAGGCACAGCATTAGGTTTCAAATACATTCTTGTTGTATTTAAGACACCTAAAAAATACACAACTTTAAGTAAAATTTAAAAAAAAATAATTAGTACTATCCATAATATTTTAATTATTAAACAGTATTTTTTTAAGAACTGCAATTTTGAAAATTTTAAATTGCATTTGTTTCATAATTGTTTATATGTATAAATTTTTAATATTTGATTTCTTTAAATTTGAAGGTTAGATTGCACATTGTGTTAATAATATATATTTTTTATTGTAATGTACAATCATTTTATAAAATAATCATAGTGTCAAGAGGGAGTGTATGTTGTTCTTTTCAAAATAAAATAAAAAATAAACTTTTTAGAAATACAGATTTATACTAATCCAACAAACGATTTGTTCGTAAACATCGTAAAATATATTTCATCATGTTGACAATGCTTTAGATTTATAATAAACAAATGTCATTCGAGATTTTTAATGTTAAATGTATTTTAAATTATTGTGATAATGTAATTACCTGTGTGATAACTTTCATTGTTTTTAATTATTTCATCCTCTTCGAAATGACTTGCACATAACCTAGAAGTTTTTATCGATTGAAAATTTGCACTTATTGCATTTTCCCACAAATTTCGACGCTTCTCATCTTTAGGAAAGGTAAATGTGGCATTTCCTTTACATAAAGGGACACAGCATTTCACCATTGTGTAGAAAATCACTTTCAATTTAAATTATGTAATTTTTTTAACTTTTGACACTTTCAATTACAACGCTGTCTGAAAATTGACGATAATGACTGGCAATAACAGACAACAGCTGACCGTATCAGTTTGTCTCCTAAAATCTTTAAACAGTTACCCACACTTTATTATAACCACAATTTCTTATTAAATGATTTTATTCGTCTTTTAAGTGAACAAAAACATTTTATAATATGTTTATTAAATATCATGGAATAAACTCGATTTGAAATTTAGCGCTCTACGATCTTGCAGTGATGCTGCCCTCTGCTGGCCAAGTTTGGCCGTGAGGATCCCCATTTTAAATGTAGTAATTAATTTGTTCTTCCTGTATTTAGGGTGTACGGCTTTTCAATGGAAATCCAAATGGAAACAGAAGAATGCCCACTAAAGGCTTCTTTTTGCTTCTTTTTGCTTCTTTTTTGCCTTTTATATTCAATTTTGCATATATTTTCACGGATCAGATTTTCACTTTCGCATTCACATATACTGCTACGTTTTTTTCATATTTATTTTCACAATCCATGTGAATTGGAAAATGAACGTAAAATTACATGATTAGTCCTCTGTATTTCTTAATTCTATTTTAAACAATTACTTAAACTACTTTTAAGATACCGGAAGAGGGAAACGAGAAAAAAAAAATTATCTATAGTCCCGAGTACGAGACTTCACAGCAGATAAGAAAAGAGAATGCTTTGAAGTTAAAAGGCACAGCACGTTTGGAAAGAGTAAGTTACGAAATACTACATTTCTATTTAATTTCAATTAAATACAAAGACATTGTTTAGCAGCATTTATTGCTATAGTTTTTCTCCCTTTTTATGAAAAAAAATAATATGATTTAGGGAATAGCCATTTTCTTCTCTAATATAATTTAGAGAATGGACACCCCGCGCGCCGACTCCTACACTTTGAATATTTTTGTTTGGGAATTTTGTACATTATAAAATTAATTTACAAAATTAATGTTAATATGTTCTTTTCTTGTTTAAAAACAAATTTCTATCCCACTTTTCCACAATATTAACTTAAAATTTAATCTAAATTGTGAAGGTTAGGTTCATTTTTGGAATGGAGGGGTGTTTTCCGTTAACACTTGACCTGTAGGGTAAAAAAGGCTAAAAGCAGGTTTTCCTTCAACCCTTGACCTGTAGGTTAAAATTGCCTTCAAATTTGACCTAAATTTTGAGGACAGAATATGTTAGCGAAAGGTTTTCAGTCAAATCTTGATTTGTACGTCAAAACTGCTTTTTACTTTAACTTAAAATTTGAAGGTACAGAAGGTAAGATAGAAGATTCCAGTCAAGCCTTGACCTATGTCAAAAGGGATCTTAAACTTGACCTGAATTATGTCTGCAAGTAAGGTCAGAGTCAGCTTTCCCGCCAAGTCTTGACTTATAGGTCACAGGGCACTCTAGTTTGACCTCAATTCTGACGTCAGATTAGTTCAGTAGGAGTTTTCCCGTCCAGTCTTGACTTGTAGGTCAAAACTACACTTCGATTTAACCTAATATGTTAGATCAAAGAAAATCAAACTAAAACTTTCGGTCAGCCCTTGAACTGGAGGGTCATAAATGTCAAAAGAGGGAACTTTTCCGTTAAGTCTTGAACTCTAGATCAAAACTGACTTAAATTTCACTTAAATTTTGATAGCAGATTAGGTCAGATCGAGCTTCTCCGCCAAGTCTTGGCCTGTAGGTCGAAACTGACCTTAAATTTGACCTACATTTTGATGGCAGATTAGGTCAGAGGGAACTTTACCTTTAAATCTTGAGCTATAAGTCATGGAATCTTCTATAGTGGTGGCACCCCCAGCGTAAAATTAGGTGCATTCACGGAGTCAAGTTCTTGCCACTGACCGCAGAGGCGCTAGTCTATTTTTCATAACAACTACCCAGATAACAAAATGTAAGGCTAATGCCTAGCCCTGCTCTAGCCCGGGGTCCGATTGATAGGACCGGGGTGTAGGCCAAAACGCAGCGTTTTGTGCGCGCCATTGTCAGCCATATGGCTCGCCCCGTGTGACAGGCACCCGCGTGCCGGCAGGCTGCACACCCTTGATGTCGACATTATTCGAACGTATTAAAATATAATTCTTTTAAATGAAAATAGGTAAAATGAGAAAAAAACAATATTTATCATCTGTAATCAAAAGAATTTATTTCTTTTTCAAAGAAAGTTTCAAAGAAATCACTGATCATTCGTAAATTCGTTATTCATAAATGGAAATAATAATCTCAATGGAAATATTTTGAAAAATACGAAAATAATTTTTTTCAAAAATTAAAAAAGCAGAAAATTATGTTCATTTCATGAATATTTTTTACTTCATGCAAGAAATACAATTCTGACAACATTATATTAAAAATTTTATAAAGAAAAAGTTATTCCAAAAAATAAGAAAAACGATTTTTTTTTAAAATTAAAGTAGCAAATAATTTCATAAATTCTGATAAAATACATACTTTATATACATGAATCGATTCGTTTTCCTGCAAGGAATACAATTTTCACAAAAATTTCTCAAAATTTTAATCGAGAAAGAAGTTATTTTTAAAAATATGAAAAATGATTTTTTTCAAAAATTAAAAAAAATCATTTAATCTCTAGATTTAGGTAAAATATGGACTTTTTATAAGTTAATCAATTCATTTCAATGCAAGGAATACGTTTTTCAGTAAAAAAAATTGATTGCACAAGAGAAAAAAATTTTTTTTAAAAAAATTTATTTTTCGATTTTCGAAAAAAAGGCATAAAAAAAATTGCATGGATATTTTTGGAAATCCTTGTGTCTGATTTTAGATATTGGTGAGTGCAATAACCCTACAAAATTTCAGGCTGATCCCTCAAAACGTGTTTGAGATATTTTGAAAACAAGGAATTGGTGACATACACACACACACACATATTTATCACCTTTACTCCACCACGAGGCCAAAAACATTCATTGCAAGCAATGGATACAATCAATGATATTGGTCAATGGTCGCGTTTCACCTGATCGAGCCGTTTGTACACCATGAACAATGGCGCGTGCGCGTGTCGTGAAAACGAATAAAGGTCAGCACACAATATTTTCCAATTCACACTTCCTAAGGTTAACGCACAATACATTCGGAAAACTGAGAACGATTACCAATTTAATTTTTATAAAATGTTTATGTTTATATTAGCAACGTACATTTTCATGCATTCGTTTTTTTATGTCCAATCAAAAATTTAAAAAATGTTTTATATTTCACATACATTTCTAAGTATAAAACCGTTGAGAAAAAAAATTCCACTGATTAAGAAAGAAATTTAATAGAAATATTAATTATTTAATTATATACAATAACATTTGAATATAAAATAATAATTAATTTTATTTTTTAAAATTGTGCATAATTATAGCGTTTAACCTTAAACCTCTAATTTGCGTACTTATTAATATTAATAATAATTATAAAATTTTAGAGATAAGTAATTTCTGTTAATAATAATCTATTTCTTATTCAGTGAGATTTTTTCTTGGGTGTTTTATACTTAAAAATGTACGTGAAATATTAAACAAATTTTTAATTTTTGATGGGACATAAGGAATATAATTTTATATTAACATTTTATAAATAATCAATTTGAAAAATTATTAAAAGCAAAAAATTTTTTAAACAATAATTATTTTTGTATAGTGTGTTTCATAACGAAAAAAATTCTTTTATAATAAAAATTCTAGAACAAATACAAAACATTTCTTTGACTAACGCATTTTTATGTGAACATTGAAATTTTATTATTTTAACTTTATTTCCTATTATATATTTATTTTATTTGTAAGTACATATAATTTAATTAATAAATTGGGATTAATAAAATCTAGCCATTTGCTGGCTCTCAGCGAGCTCACGGTCTAGATAATGTGTAAGCGAATTCTCCAGCCCACTGCTAGCCCGCTTGATCTACAACAAGTGCGCCAGCAAGTGCTAGTTAAATCGCAGCGTCACAGCTTACACTCGGTGTCTCGGCCGCAGCGTGCCGGGCGGGCCGGAGACCTCTGTTATCTGGGGCGCCTCTGCGGTCAGTGACAAGAACTTTTGGCTCCGTGAATGCACCTAATTTTATGCTGGGAGTGCCACACTATGGAATCTTCAAATAGCGTTGGCGGTGGCGATATCTTTTTATAATATAGGGAGACTAGGGGTGATTTAATTTTTTTAACTCTTTTCCTGCTCTTAAAATTTTTGAGGTCTTATTATTCTAACTTAATGTTGTGATTATATTCGTATATTGACTGATTATCTCGGCCGATTGATTAAGGTTGTATTTTACTTAAATTTTGACATAAATTTTGTAAAAGCGAACCCTAACCTGATTTGAAGGTTAGGATTTTAAGGACCTTAAATTGAGAATATTTAACCAAACTTTAAGGATAATCCTTTTGTCCCTACACTTATAACCGTTGATCACGACTTTTGCCTTTCGACCTGATAATGTATGATCCTTGATTTTATTTTTGTTCATGTTCTTATTCTGTCGTCTGACATCTTATTATGAGATGACGGATTTTTTACCTAAGTTTTTAAGTGATATGTTTTCTTCTTTGAAAGGTAGTTTCTTAATTGGAGGCGGATTCTACACAGGTTCCCACATCATATTGGCTTCAAATTTGATATAAATCCTTTCCTTTATTTAAGGCGCATTCTCCTCAATCTTACCCTCAACATAAGCTAAAATTTGTCATAAATTTTAAAGCTATGTTCTTTTTTTGATTTTAAGTGGATTTTCTATAGTCTTCCCCTTAATATTGACTTTACTTTTAAGATTATGTTCATTTCTTAGTTTGTGGCAGATTTCCTTCAATCTTCTATTTAATATTGACACAAAATTTGATCTTAATTTTAAAGTTACGTTCAAGGCAAATTTCCTTGAGCCTTTACCTCAAAATTAACTAACAATTTTGCCTAAATTGTATAGTTTGAGATCAGTGAAGGTCAATGGGAGGTTTCCGCTCAAGTATCGACATGTAGGTCAAAGCTGCTCTTAAATTTGACCCACATTTTGAGAGCAGAGAAGGTCAGTGGAAGCTATCCCGTCATGTCAAAACTGCCCTTCAATCTGACGTAAATTTTAACTGCAAATTAGGTCAGAGGGAGTTTTCTCATTAAGTCTTAACCTTAAGGTCAAAAAGTGCCCTTAAATTTGACCTAACGGGATAGAGGTGCTGAACGATAGTTGATCTGTGGATCAACAATCATGTCAAATTAGACATAAGTTTTTACGTAATAGGTAGAGATGTGCGAATACTTCGACTTCGAATCAACGTAGGTTCCAATTCAAATTAAGGAGGTTCATCCCAAAATCGATTTTCTTCATTTTTTTTAATATTTAAGATACATTAATGGCATCATTTTACATGTGTTGTTAAAATTTTTTTGAATTTAACCGTATCGTTTTCAAGATAAAAATTGATGAAGTTTGAAGTTTTACATGGGAACAGTAAAAATACATGAAAAATGACCATGTTTTCATTGATTAAAAAAAAGGTTCTACAAATTCTTTTAAAAAACTAATATGTTTTAAATTATGAGTTTTGACAGCTTTTACAAAACTATGAAATTAATTGCCCGTTCGATTGTGAAGAAAATGTTAATCAAAGTTAGCTACTTTTGAACTTATCCCGTGTAAATAAAAGAAAGAAGGGTAGAAACGGCAACATAACCTCTAAATTGGCCAGTGGAGCTCAATTTTC